CGGACCAGAAAAGGAAGTGTACTGCAGACCAGTGCGGACCAGAAAAGCCCCCCCACCAAGGCCAGAGGCAGTGACTAGACATTAGAGAACACTTGTTCTGATATGATATGACATATGATATGGTATGGTATGGTATGGAATGATATGGTGAGTGTACACGTGTGGTAGAAGGAAAGAAGGCGGGCAGTGGAACAGTTTCTGGGAAGTTGGAGGGGCCTGGCCACTGTCTACTTACAGGAGGTTGGGGAGATGCAGCAGGGTATTCAGGCAAGGCTCTCTACATGTGGCCTGAGGTGTGTATATGCATCAAGTAGGGTCACCTACGACCACTGGAAGCCGTGACCAGCATTAGGAACATTAACTATAGAATGATGGTTCTGCATTATCCTCGGCAGCATCACTGAAGAATTAACTGACCGTAACTACCATTACCTTTGGGGAAGTCTTAGAACACAGTAGGGCTGCGGAGGAAATGAAAGCAGCCAGCACATTTGACTTTCTTTCCTTTCTTACAAAACAAAACATTCAGGCCAAATTTCCCCCAAAATGTTCAGAGACTGAACACAACATTTTCTTTCAGGGGAAGCATAATTATGTTCTGTCAAAACAGAACTCTCACACTGGTATAGTCATTATCAAGCAAGCCTGTATCGAATACTGCTTCACTGCAAATGTCAGCACCTCAACACTGAGGGTCTTTCTCAGAAATACTCTATTGACTTCACCTTGCGCTTTGAAGTCAAGGGGCCCGAAGAATCCCTCCCTCTACTGAGCTGATGACACCCTCATTCACTGTTCTATGTTCTGTGAAATATTCTTGACGTGACACCTCTAGCTATCAGAATACTTTTGAAAGTTCTCCAGATGGAACTAGTTTAAATTCTCAGCATCCTCTTATCTAAATGATGCTGAATCTGGTCCTGACTGAAAGATGGGATGGCTGAGTACCAACTGCACTTCTGTTCCTATTATGTTCTGTCAGCACTGAGGATTCGGCCATCCTCCTTTTCTATAAGAACTTGGACATCAAGAGAAAATACTATCACATGATTAATACCAAATTTGCCAACTAGGATGCCATGATGTAATAGATGATAGTGTGACTATTTTGACATTTTTAATCACTTGGCATTTAGTTGAATGTATTAAAAAAAAAAAAAAAACCCTAACCGTTCATGGAGCGGGGCCACACTTCGGTCAGGAATAAATGAGAGAGAGGGGAAAAAAAGACCAAGAACATGTCCTACTTGAGTGTAAAGTTGCAATGGCTGAGTTGTAAGAAAGTTGTAAAGAAGCTAATGGCTGAGTGCCAGAATGTTCAAGCACACACACACCTGGGGGCTACTTTATTATATGTGTCCAGCACAAATTCCACACACATGCAAACTCCATTTTTCTCTCCATGCACACCCCACTCCCTGCCCGCTCAGTAAAGTGCTTGCCTAGAGTGTCAAGGCAGAGGAGGATACCTGGTGGGAGCAGCCTTGCTTATACACTGAAGGCCTAAGTCAGCCATAGGCCTAAGTCAGTCATACATGCCTGCTAACACGAAGTCTTGGTCTCTGTGGGAAAACACTGACCCTAGAACAGATAGCTATAGACCTAGTAGATAGGTAGCCTCATCTCTCTATGGTTAAAAGTACTCAAGAGCCTGGTGAAGAATTTGCCTATAACCATGTCTAGTTTATACCAAGTGAAGAAAATCAGAATAGTAGCTGAATAAAAAGGGGGGAGGGGGACATGGGGGAGAAGGGCTGAGTGAAGAAGGAAGGGGAAGGACAGAAAACTGAAGGAACTGTGCTATAATTGCTGAAAAAGTCACTGAGACCACCATATATGTCATTCCAACTGCTGAGTTCTTCAGAGCATTTTTACGGCCAAAGGTCAGCCTAACTGACCTTCAGTATGCCAGGGAATCTACTGGGCAATGGCTACTAGGGAGATGGTCTGACCATCAAGTAAAGTTTTTTTCTTACAACTGTATTTACAAATGTATTACAGAACAGACTAAAAAGAAAGCCTCATATAGCAGAATACTTACATTAAGGTAGTCTGAATTAGCACCTACAACAAGGCATAGCATAACAGACTCCTTGAATTTTACAGTTTCCCTTTAAAATATTAAGAACCTTCCTATCATATCTAAGGCTATAATGCTTTTATCTGGAATCAGAATTTCAGACACTGTTTTAGCTAAATATTACTCTCACTGACTCTGAAAACCTTGGTCCCACAGGGATTGCGTTCCATACTTTACATTTGGCAAAATACTGCTGGGACCCCGGTCTTGGTGGTGTTAGTGAAACAAAGTTGCACAAATTAAGTTGTCAAAAACTTCAATTCGCAGATGTTTAATTACAAAAAAATCCACAATCTATGTATTTATGACTCTAATGTGCTTTTTCTCCAGAGAGCACATTTTCATGCATTAGGAAGACAATGTGACGTTACATAATCTGTCCACCACATGACTTCTCCACTGGGGCTCTAACAGGGAGGGTGCATCTCCCTAAGGCACCAACAGTGCTGGGGCCAGGCGGCTGCAGACGCGCAGAGGGGCACCTTGGGATATTTTAAACTCTTAAGGGAAACAAAACAACACTTCCTACATACTGAGCAGGCTGCTGTCAAGCTGTACACACATGACTGCTTAGTGCAATGAAGAGTTGGGTATTTATTCTCGCTCAGGCTCCAAGGCTTAAATTATATTTGGGGCCCTCTCCCCAGGCATTTCCACTGTGGTCTGGCTAGAAATGGAAGCAAGGTTAAACCTGGTCTGGGAATGATGTTTAACAACCCTTTCCTGTCTCCTCTGCGTGCAGAATTAGGGAAAGCATGAATCTGGATCACAGCATGTGCACTGCCTTAGAAAAGGAGACGAGGCATGTTTACTGTGTAATAAGAACTCCAGATCTACCCACAAAGGTCAACATGAATTTATTTAGCCTGGGAGAAGAGCCATCTGGCCCAATATTTAATAGGAAGTGAAAGCCAGGCATGACAGTTATTATGTTGATGTGGATGCCCCATACTGACATGGGCAAAGGAGAAGCGTATGTGGTTATGTGCGATGAAAAACTAGATGACCCCAACCTTCTAGACGGCCTGAGGCAGCATCGGCACATTTTGATTTCTAAATTACAATGTCAACATTAAGCCTCCTAGTTCTTGCCAATCTTAGAATGTTCCAGTCCTCGGGGACTACATTATGATCACCAGAGATCATTTTCTACCAACAAGAATGGCTCTTTGGAGACATGGCACACCACAGGGGTGGTATAGAAAATATATGAGTCTGTGTTATACTAGAGAGCGAGAACACCTGAGAGCTATTGATGAGGCTCCAACTGGCCAAGGAGGGTCTAGCCTGAACGTCAGTCCTATGAACTGTGGTGTGTTAGTGTTTAGAGCAAGCGTCTGCTTTCCCTTTCTAAAGATACAGAATAGGCACAAAACAAGAAGTTTATACAACTTATCAAAATACACGTAGTTTTCAGTGGGATATCCTCATCTCTTCACTACTTCCTTGTGTGTATGTTTTTTATATATATTATATTCATGTACTAGTGTTTTGGCTGCGTGTATGTCTGTGTATCATGTGCATGGCTGGTACCTGTGGAGAGGACAGAGCCAGATCAACTGGAACTATAGTTATAGATGGTGGTGAGGCAGCCCGTGGTGCCAGGAAATGAGCCTGGGACCTCTGAAAGAGCAGCCACTGCTGAGCCATCTCTCTTTAGGCTGAGTTTTTGTTTTGGTTTTGCTTTGTTTTCTTTGTTGCTATTGTTTTCCAAGGCCCAATTATTATTTATGTCATGGTTTGGATATGAAATACCCTGGAACTCCCCTCACTGGCAAGACTCAGTCCCCAGCTAATGGCTCCAATCACTGAACAACTGGGTAACAAAGGCTCTGATCTCATCCATGGATTATCCTACTGATGAGTTCCTAATCTGATGGCATCCGTGGGGCTTGCTTAGAGGGAAGTGGGAGTCCTTTGGGAGAGTCTCCATCTTGGCTGCCCTGATGTGAGCAGCCTCTTCCACCACAGGGTCTGCAGCAATGATATTCTTTGTATTTTACCACAAGACTGTGGTAACAGAACAAGTCCTATCACACGACAGAAATGTCAGAAAGATAACCAAAGCACCCTTTCCTTCTAAATCCTTTCTTTCAGCTCTCTGTCACACTGACAAAAAGTCTACAACCTGGTATACCCTGCAGAGCATACAAATGACAAATATGTCTTGGCCAGGCAGTGGTGGCATACACTTTTAATCCCAGCACTCAGAGGCAAAGGCAAGCAGATCTCAGTGAGGTCTAGGCCAGCCTGGTCTACAAAGAGAGTTCTAGGACAGCCAAGGCTACACAGAGAAACCCTGTCTCAAAACAAACAAACAAACAAAAAAATAACATGTTGTAAACACAGCAGGAAATAAACAGCAAACACTAAAACATTAGGCATCATCACGCAGTAGAGTGAGGGACGTCTCCTTTGGTGACATCACACTTACCGTGGTATCATTGCTGGTCACATAAACCAGGACATCAGAGGAGTTCCTGCCATTGATGTACCTGTAGCAGCTCCAAACACAGCTAATCAAGTAGCCCTGCAAGTAACAGTCATCAGATTTTTAATTTTCAAAATTAAAAAACAACTTAGAACAGTAAGAAGTCACACTATGAAGGCCTTATTGCATACACAGTTAATGTTACTGAACCTCAGGTATTTAAAGGGGGTGTACTGCCACAGCCTTGTTCAATCACAGTACACCCCAGTATGGTACTGATACTGGGTGGTGGTGGGGGTTAAGGATGGGACATTGGTCAAATTTATTAGACTATTTTACCACTGTACTACTTATTCTTTGGCAAGAGGTAAGCCAAACTTGATGTGTAGCCCAGGTTACCCTTAAGCTCCTCCTGCTTAGCACCCTGACTTCCAGTATTACATGCAGTAAGAATTTTGGCTTCTTAACTAACCCAGTTATGTTATGTGATTATGTCTTTGTTTTCACCCCAGGTGTGGGATGTGGGGCTGCTGCTTCAGATTGTCCATCCACAGCTCCTAACTATGATTTGTCTAGTGCTGTAGGATGGATGTGATTCCTGCCAGCTGCAGATGGTTTGCGTTTGGAATTCTGGGGACTCTTGAGAGGATAGAGTATAAACGTGAGATCCTGGGAGGACAGCTGCGGCTTCCCCTGCCGCTATTGGTTCTTGCTATTGCACTTGTTGCTTTTGCTACTGCTGGAATTCTGTTTGCTGGTTGGAAACAGTCTAACTAAGACTGGAACTCAAAGCCCTAATTAGCAGGAGGTGGTCTGAAAAGTCTATGCCCCCGTTCCCCTCTAAGCTTCTCTCTCCTACCCAGTGTTGGGGATAGGGGCGGGGTGGAGATGGTAGATTTAAGAACCCAATAAAGCAGCCAAAACATACTCCTATAGTTACAGGCATGTACTTTTCCAGTTTTTATTCTACAGGATTATCTGATTGTATTATACCACTGTCGAAACGAAGCATCTAAAGGTACCTAAGATTACCGCCCGGAAGAACACAGTGCTAGAAGTGACACATGAGATGCTGGGTCAGGAACTCTCTCTACGCTCTTGTTCCAACCATCTCTAATTGGATTAGAACTCAATTACTTTAAAATCCCTCCCCAATTTCAAACTTCTTTGACTAAAAAAAGGTTCAAGAGAGAACCTTTTCCATTTCTGGTAAAGATGTGAAATGGTATAGCCCCAAATTTCAAACAAGTCACCACAGGACCCGATAATACTCCCCTAGGGACATGTATATCCGTAAACTTTATTGCAGAGATGTGAAAAGTAGCATTGTTCACTGCAGCCAAGGTGGAGGCAACTGGATACCTGTCGTGTGATGGATGGATACGAGGCATGTCACACAGCAGGACACACCTGCAACTGTCCTGGTGAGAGCCACCACCCTGACACAGCTAGGTCATCTATGAAGCAGAAACCTCGATCGGGAAAAATGACTCCATCAGATTGGCCTGGAGGAGAGACTGATGAGGGAGGTGCCACCCCTGGGACTTAGATGGTATAGAAAAGGGAGCTGAGCGAGCCCTGAGAAAGGGCAGTGTGCATGGCCTCTCCTACAGTTCCGCCCTCAGTCTCCCTCAACAGACTGCGCCCCTGGAATGTAAAGCAAATACACCCTTTCTTCCTGCAAGCTGCTTCTGGCCATGGTCTTTAGCACAGTAATAGAAAGTAAACCAAGGTAGCAACTTAAGGGGTATGGGGAACCCCCACAAAGACCAACATGAGGTATGACTAAAAACGTTCTAAATGGACAGGGCAGCATTCACTTTTAGTAGCAGCACTTGAAAGGCAGAGGCAGAGCTGGCGGTGGTGGCGCACGCCTTTAATCCCAGCACTTGGGAGGCAGAGGCAGGCGGATTTCTGAGTTCGAGGCTAGCCTGGTCTACAGAGTGAGTTCCAGGACAGCCAGGGCTACACGGAGAAACTCTGTCTCGAAAAACCAAAAAAAAAGAAAGGCAGAGGCAGGCCTGATCTACACAGATCAAGTTCCAGGGTAACCTGGGCTACATAGAGAAACCCTAACTCAAAAAAATAAAAAATTACACAGTACGTATAGGCCTGGAGCCACAGCTGTACACACCTATAAATGCACTAAGAACACTGACTTACATTTCTTTTAAGAACATTTACTTATTTAGTGTGTGTGTGTATACACCAATGTATGCACAAGTACCCACACCCATGTGTGTGTTCACGTGCTCAGAAATGAACTTCTGGGAGCTCGATCTCTCCCTCCGTCTATGTGGATTCCAGGAACTGAACTCGGATCAGTTTACCAGCCTTTGTGCAAAGACCTTCACCCACTAAGCCATCTCATCAGCCCTTCTGTTACATGGTTGTACTCTGTGACTCGGGTTGAAGATCTATTGAATCTGCATCTGCTATGTTTATTGAAATATTTGCATCTAACTTCTGTGATGTTAATACTAAAAAGATACAGAACACTGTAATACATGTTGCAGTACTATATACTATATAACCTTAAATCTGGTCCCAAATACATTTTGTTTTTGTTGTTGTTTTTTGATTTACATATATGGATGTTTTGCCTGTATGTATGTATATCTGTCCACTGTGTACATGCCTGGTGCCACAGACATCAGAAGAGAGTGTCAGATCCCCTGGGACTGGAGTTATAGATGGTTGTGAGCTACCATGTGGATGCTGGGAACAGAACTTGGGTCCTCTGGAAAAACACAAGTACTCTTAACTACTGAGCCACGTCTCCTTGACTGGCCTGTGGAATACAGCTTAGTATTTCTCACACAGACAACAGAATAAACTGTAACGTTAAGAAATCAAGAGGCGAGCCAGGCGGTGGTGGCGCACGCCTTTAATCCCAGCACTTGGGAGGCAAAGGCAGGCGGATTTCTGAGTTCAAGGCCAGCCTGGTATACAGAGTTGAGTTCCAGGACAGTCAGGGCTATACAGAGAAACCCTGCCTCGAAAAACAAAAACAAAACAAACAAAAACAAAGAAATCAAGAGGCAACAAACTAGTTATTTTGTTTATCTCTCTTGCAGTCAGGAATACATTTAATATTTAGCCCATAAATAGAATATTTATGCTTACCTTAAATGTCAAAATAATGCCAATAAACAGAAGAATAATAAGGACCAAACAGGTTGGATTCACGGACATTATGTCATCTCTGTAGGGAAAGCTGGGAGGCTGAAAGGAAAGGGCCTCATTAGCAAACCTTATTCATCTTTCAAGACGTATTCCACAGACGGCGGAGGCACAATTGGTGATTATTATTTAGGACAGAAGCCTCTACCGATGAGACAGCAACAGTGAGTTAGGGAAAGCCAACACTGTAACTCAGGCAGTGATTCCAGTGAAGGGAAGGGCAGACAGACATAGTCAAGTGGGCAGTGCCCCTCCGCCATCCACTGCACCATGGGGGTCCACCACCAGTGTGGTGCTTTGTACACTCCTGGTGTTTGACGTGGTAGTGTTTTATTTTCTTCAGGTTCTGGATATTCTAAAGGCTGTGTGCAGGACAAGGAGGAGAAACTCACTAAATGAATATATTTGCTAATAACACATCTTTCTAGATAGCAAACTCTTACATGTTTGTTTTGTAAACAAGGATGAATTACTTTGACTGTGTTTTACTGGACTCTAGCTTGGGCTTGCCTGCAGCCTTCTTAGTTGACGGCTGCCTTTCTAACCCACCAAGTTTCAATTTGTCAGCAGCAGTCATCGGAGGAATGTGAACGGTCCCTTTCATTGCTAATATGTACATGATTTGCTACTGGCTTCCTAAAATATTTCACTTCTATTATTTGGTTTGTCATTACAAATAAAAGTGAAAGCTGATTTGTTTTACAGTATTATAATTCCTGTCAGCTCCAATAATATGTGGTTGTAGCATGTGATGGTTCCAAAGTGAGTGAATGGAGAATAGCAGACAAGGTAAGGTCAGAATGAAGCCGTTGAATGACCTGTGTGGTCTATGTCAATCTCTGCTGTCCATGGACAGTGCACCGCTCCACAGCACAGGCAGCTGCTGGCCTGTCTTCATGTGTTCTTAACATCACCACCAGCCAGTCCCGTACATGGTAAGTTTGTTGGGACTGAGTTTCTTCTTCTCTAGCAGCATGATTTAAGGAGCCCAGCAAGCAGATCATCAAAGAGTTAAAACGAAGCCTCAGCACAGAGGCTAATCCTCTACCTGCTCATCACGGATCAGGCCCCTTCAACTATCTCCTAAGAGGCAACTCTCAAAACTGGCACATGGCAACAGCCCATCAATAGTCCTGGCTCTTCAAATAGTAATAAAAAGAATGACAATGTAGACATCTCTAAGGAGCAAAACCTTGGGGCCTTCTGTGATGGGACAGGTCAGAGCAGGACTGTCAGCAAGACTACAAGCTTCTCGCCTCACTCCCTCCTCCCTCCTTGCCCTCAGCCATCCTTCCTACTGGACCATTTAGTTCCCAATGCCATGTGCATCCTGTAACCTCATCTCTCCTGGTCCTTACCCTGAGTTCAGAGACTACTACAAAGGCTGCATGAAATGAGCACATTGGCAGTCTGTAACCAAGGGAACGGGAAGCAGGCAGAAGTAGGAGGCCAAGTTGGGCACCTCAGCAGGACCTGGTCTCAAAATGAAATTCTAAAATAAGGAGGTAGCTCAGCAGGAAAGCGCTGATCTTGCATGTGGCAGGCCCTGGGTTTAATCCCTACTGCCACAGTAAAACACACACATACACACTTGTACAGGCGCACGCGCACACGCACACAAAATAAAATTATATAGAGAGAATCTTCAAGAGCGAACATTTGCTGGGCATTAGTAGTGCACACCTTAACCTCAGCACCTGGGAGGCAGAGGTAGGCTGATCTCTGTGAGTTCAAGGCCAGCCTGGTTTACAGAATGAGCTCCAGGACAGTTAGAGATACACAGAGAAACCTTGTCTCTCAAGAAACACAACAATGAAACAAAAACCAAAAAACAATAATCCTTCCCCCCAAAAAAGAGTAAATGCTTTGCCATTTAAACAATTTAAGGAAATTACATTTTCAGACACATTCATAATTTAAAAATCCAAAGTTAAAAAGCCTAACGGCCCATAATTACTCCATCTGATGCTGTTAGAAGCTCCTTAACACCCAGCCACCAATACTACTAGGATGTCCATAAAGGACTTAACAGGAATCAAGAGGAAAGGGGTCGCTGGGGAACTAAGTCTGGAAAGAACTCCACAGCAGTTTCCTGTCTCCCACAAGCCAACAGAGGAAAGTCGTCATCCAATACTGACACGGTGGGAGGGTCACCTACCAGCTGTCGTATATATTCCTGAATGGAGTTTGGATACACCAGCACGGTGATTGCAACCAAAGTGTTCAGGGCAAAATCAAAGATCTGGTAACAGAAGAATGGGATGATCCAGGCGGCGTGTTGCTAAAAATGAGAAAACAGAATGTTAGTGTGTTGGATATAAAAAGACACTGGGTCCATCACCATGAAGGGACCTGGAGGAACTGGCAGTCATTAGCCAGGCCACGATGACAGCTGGTGTGCAAAAAGCTGAAGCAATCAAGAAACAGAGATACTGGAGGGCTGGATAAATGGCTCAGCAGTTGAGAGCATTGTTGGTTCTTCCAGAGGTCCTGAGTTCAATCCCCAACAACTACACGGTGGCTCACAACCATCTATAACAGGATCTAATGCCCTCTTCTGGTGTGCAGGCATACATGCAGATAGAGCACTCATACATAAAATAAGTAACTCTTAAAAAAAAAACAAAACACTGAGTGTTCATAATGTCTGTTTTACCAGTTTTTCTAGTACCACAAAGGTGTTAGTGAGAGATTTCTGAAGACTCTTGTGGAAAACTATGAATCACTCTGTACTCAGCAAAGGTGACCTCAGATTACGCTACAGCAGCGGTTCTCAGCCTGTGGGTTGAGACCCCTTTGGAAGTTGAACAACTGTTTCATAGGGGTTGCCTAAGACCATCGGAAAACACAGATATTGACATTATGATTCATAACAAAATTATAGTTATGAAGTAGCAACGAAAATAAAATAAGTTTATGGCTGGGGGTCACAGTGACCTGAGGAACTGTATCAAAGGGTCCCAGCATTATGAAGGCTGAGAACCACTGCTCTAGCAGAAGGGCCTGAAGAAGGGCCCAGCCCTCACCTCACCACAGCCGCTTACCTTGTATGCACCGTAAGTAGCCATGGCACATATCAGGATCATGAGGAGAGAGATTGCGATAGCAATGCACATGTCTAGCAAAAGGTCAAAAAAAGGGGTGGGAAGAGACAATTAGATTCACTTCCGAACATAGTTAGTTTCTCTGCATTTTGTTTATAAACCAATTATAGGTGAAAACTTTACACTACATCAACCAACCAGAGCGAACAAGTGCCAGATGATGTCCTCACTAAATCCTAAGTGACTACATCATTGCAAAGCACAGAGGTGCTGCTTTCAGAAACCAAAGGCGGCCTTCTGGTCCTCGCTAGCTCGGTCATCCTGTAGCCACACAGGTGTCTGTCTGCACTTCATACACTCATGCATAAATCACAAATTAAAACTCTCTGATCCTTTACTCATTCAAATTTTAAAATGTTTCTATTCAAGACCCTAATGTCCCAATTTACTCTAAAGTGATCTCTCTCGTCTTACTTCACCACCCTGGCTGTCGATGTCACCCAACAGGATCAAACACTAACTACACTAACTGCTAGGTCTTATGTCTGAAGTTTTCTTCATTGGTAGTATGATCAAATTTCGTTTTAATGATGAAGGTGGTCCCAGGTAAAATCATCTTTTTTTTTTTTGAGACAGGGTTTCTCTGTGTAGCCCGGCTGTCCTGGAACTCACTTTGTAGACCAAGCTGGCCTCGAACTCAGAAATCCGCCTGCCTCTGCCTCCCAAGTGCTGGGATTAAAGGCGTGCGCCACCACTGCCCGGTAAAATCACCTTTTGTAAGGCTTCCCTCAGCACTCCAGCGGGTGCAGTTCCTGCCTTCCAGTCACTGTGCCCACCCCTGTCATGTGGAATTACAGCTACAGCACACATCATTATTAAACTTATTCTAATTGCTACTGGTGATTGCCAGTTTCTCCCCAGGTAAAAGGACAGCATACTGTGGGCTAGCACCACCATCTCGGTGAGAAATGACCCCTCTGGTAGCACGAGGCGGGTGCTGGGAACCTAGACGGAGAAGGTAGGATGAACACATGCTCCAGTCCTCCAGACTCAGTTCAGAGAATATGAAATATCTCATCAATGACATTTATACTAATTTCAATAATTATAATTAATCTGGTTTTTATGCGAAGGTATGATTTTTCTACTAACCACATTATGAAAAGCAACAACAGAAAAAAACCAAGATTGATGACTGAACAATGTTGTTTGGGAATGATGCCTGTACATAGAAGGCTCAAGGTGAACAATTTTTCCGGAAGCCTGTGCCTTTTAGGTGTAACTAAGCTGCTAACTTCTGATGCTAAGAAGGCAGTGAAGTAGCTCGACTCATTGTTTTTCAGAGATGTTTTATTCTTCTTGGATAAAGCAGATGTTCTTTTTGAACAGAAGATAAAATGAAGGTTTGGGGTTGCAGGACACTCTGAGGGCAAAGGCTGGGCTGTGACTAATTCTGCCATAGTGGTTAAAGCTAATTGCCAACTTGACTGGATCAAGATGGACCTGGATTAGTCCAGCATATTTCTGTGGTGTCCATAAGAGTATTTCTAGAATGCTAAATAAGAACAAAGGCCCTCACAAAGGCTGAGGTCCCTAACACAAAAGTAGGAGAAAGGTCCCTTAGAGCATGTATAAATGTCCCTACCCCTTCTGAGCTGCCCACAGTGAACTCAGATGACCTGAACTGTAAGAAATGGAGTGAAGGGAGAGGAAAGGGGATGAAAAAGGAGAAAAACCTTCTGTATACTGCCCCAGCCCCATGGGGCACTGAACTGGCATCAGAAGACCTGGAAGAGAGAACTGGAAGACGGGATGCAAAGAACAGCGGCTTGTCTATAGTCTGATCAAACTGCCATTTTAATTTTTTCACACAGGGGTTTTGTAGGAGGAGCTAAGGTGGGAGGAGTAAGGAGAGGAAGAAGAGGAGTTGGGAGAGGAAGAGAAAAAGGAAGAGGAGGAGCTAGAGAGGGCAGAGATGTAGGAGGATGGAGAACCACACAGGTATGGAGAGCACTTGTGGGGAACAACTTATAAACTTATAATTAGGTTAGCTAATTGGGATACAACTCTCTTTGTATGGGCATCTTGTTATTAATCATTATCAAACATATAAAGCCTTTGATTAATCTATAAGAATTAGAGTCTCATTCTCTTACTGGGCCTGCACTGATGGCGGAATGGTCTGGGCAATGCCCTGCCTTGCAGAGACAGCGTGGAAGATTGGCAGAGCCATCTCTCACGTTGGCATCTAGTGGGTGGCAGGGCTGGTGTTTCTGGCAGGCCAGTTCTAGCTGCAGCACGCACCTGGCCTCAGGCTGAGAAACATGGTGACTGGGGTAGGAAGAACCTCTGCAGTTTAGATAGTCAGATGAACCAGAGGCCAGTTTTAAATAATTACCACAACAGGGTTATATACACATAAAGGCAGGATGTGGGGATGGGGAGGAGTGTAGGTGTTCTCAGGGGGAGTACAGATATCTTCCAGAACAGGGTTTTGGCTGGGTGAAGAAGCAGGGAACAGGTCACTAAGACTCTGTCTATGATTCATTTGTTCTTATCTAAGCTGGCACCCTCCACCAGGGGTACCTATCCACAAGGTCTATGACCACCCGTTCTTATCCAGGCTGGTAATTTTCCACCAAGGCTGCCTGTTTACAAGATCTATAGCTATCTGTTCTAGGGTCAGTGTTTTCCCACAGAGACCAAGACTTTGTGTTAGCAGGCATGTATGTCTGACTTAGGCCTATGGCTGACTTTAGGGCTTCAGTGTATAAGCAAGGCTGCTCCTGACAGTATATTTAACAAGAAAAAAATAAATTTATGAAAACCAGGCCATTATAGGCTTTTAACTATCTTAAAGTTCTTTAGAGCAATAGATAATAAATATATAGACAGGCAAATAAACTCAAAGGTTTACTCAAGACATGAAAATATTAATATGCACTATACAAAGTCTTTAATAAGAACTGTGTGGCACACTCCAGAACTGACCCTAATTAGAGTCATAATTTCAAACTTCATGATTTATATCTTCATGCAAGAATATAAAACCCAAAGAATTAAAAGGTACAAACAAAATCCATGAGATGAAGTACATACACTATTGGCACTCATGTAAACAGCGAGAGGTGAGGACATTTTGGAAATCCTATTTCTATATGCACTTCTAACCAAATCTTCTGCACAAACTGCTACATCCCAAGCTCAAGAAAGTGATGGTTTGTACATGCTCAGGGAGTGACACTATTAGAAAGTGTGGCCTTATTGGAGTAGGTGTGTTACTGTGGGTGTGGGCTTTAAGACCCTCATCCTAACTGCCTGGAAGCCAGTACTCTGCTAGCAGCCTTCAGATGAAGAGGTAGAACTCTCAGCTCTGTCTGCACCATGCCTGCCTGGATGCTCCCATGTTCTTACCTTGATGATAATGGACTGAACCTCTGAACCTGTAAGTCGGTCCCAATGAAATGTTGTCCTATAAGAGTTGCCTTGGTCATAGCAGTAAATCCCTAACTAAGACAGGAAGCAGCTTGTGCAGACCCAAATTGTAAACCAGAACACAGAACAGGTAGGATGAAAACAGGCTACCACCTCCAAAACAGCTGCCAACCCCACAGAAGTAACACAGTACACAGTAAATAAAGCTTACTGAGGAACTAAAGCATATTCCTTCCTAGGGCTCTCAGGACAGCTCAGCAGTAGAATGCTTGCCTGACACGAGCAGGGCCCTGGGTCCAATCCCTAGCGTGACAAGCCCACAGCCAGTCGACACGACAAGCAGGAGGGGACTGTATGGCCAGCAGCTCTGGCCAGTGCTAGGACGACAACTCCCCATTCCATCAGAGCATCAGAGCACACTGACACCACACTGCTTCCTAAAATTCCTGCTTTAATACTGCACTTCTATTTTCAAAAAGGATCCTAAGAAAAGCTATACCACAGGTATTAAGGGCCATGATTAGAAAATGTTTCCTGAATCCAATGAGTCACTGAGACAGACAAGGCACATCAAAGTCACCTGAAACACCTGTGTCCGATCTTCTAGTTCTGTTCCCCAGCTCGTGGACTGCTCCTCAGCAGGCCTGCAGCTAACTCCGCTTACATCAAGACTTCTCTAACTTCTGGCCACACTGCTGGGAGCAGAGCTCATGAAAACAAACAGTATCACGAACTATTTTCAGTTGAACTTCCAACAGTATGTAACTACTCATAACGAAACGGAAAGCCCTCCAATGCCACAGTGAAGACTAGAAAACCCAAGCTTACGTCCTGCTTCGGGGGCCCCTCCTGAGGCCCCAAGCTCAGGGAAGAATAAACAATGAGATACTAATTTTTTACTTCCCTAAAACTGATGAGTCTAATACTCTCAATTTGTTGATTATTGATAACGTATTATTGAGAATCCTCAAAGAAGGATTCTATAACTTGCCAACTTCTGGTTTCATGGGTTTAGTTTAGTTTATGATAAGCTGCAAAGACTAATTTATCTTTGTTCTGAAGCCAATAATTAGCTATTATGGATGGGAAGAGAGGAAGGAGTTCTGGGAACAAATGGGGGCAGACAGACAGAAAAGTTCCAGGATTCCAGGACAGCCAAAGCTATCCAGAAAAAAAAAAAAAAGTTTATGTTTATGGGTGTTTTACCTGCATGTATATATGTGTACTGTGCGTGCAAAAGGCCATATGTACCCACAGAGGCCAGAAGAGGGCATTGCATCCTCTCAAACTGGAGTTAGATATGGGGACAAGCGACCATGAATATTGCTGAGAAACCAATGCAGATCCTCAGGAAGCAACAGTGCTTTAGAGCGGTGCTTCTAACTGGCTGTCTCTCCCTACCAAGTAGCTCTAGTAACTTGCAGACTTTTCAGCCATAATTATGTAGCTGACTGAACCCAATCTCAAGGACTATTTAATTCTATCTACGTCAGGGTTAAATACTTAAAGGCTTGTCTGATACAATGACCTCTAACCTACAAACCTAGTATCCCACCCCACCTTTGTAGGACCAAAAGCAGAGCCTCATGTATACTCTGGCAAGCATTCTTCCAGTGAGCTTTGTTCTCAGCCTTGTGTCTGGAAACAAGCCTCATTAGGTCGTTGTCAGGGGGGCAAGCTCCGACCTTACAATCTTCTGCCTTGGCATTCCCAATAGCTATGATTACAGAGCTAAGCATCCAGGCCCAGCTGACCTAGCAGTTTATTTTAAAAAGGCGATCAACATACAGAAAATAAACATTAAGAGGAAACAAGTTTTTTTTTTAAAAGATTCAAATCAATGCCTACCTTTGTAGCCACATAATATTCAATCATTCCTCTAGTTAGTTAGTCCTGTTAAGTGTCATGTCATCCACCCAGCACTTTCTTACCTCCCCACCCCTGCCTCTTTGAGACAGGGCTTCTCTTGGCTGTCCTGGAACTCAGAGATCTCCCTGCCTCTGCCTCCCAAGTGCCAGGATTAAAGGCATGTGCTAGCTTCACCCTGCTTAAATCATTCTTAACAGCAATTATACACTATTCATTCAGTCTTCTCAAGTGTGTGGCGTGGACCATGTAAGAAACCTCACACATGCTGCAATATGCATGCAGGGCTTACAAAATGATTATTGTTTCAGTCTGAAGACCAGCAAGCCTCTCTTGTCAGACAGTGCATTTGCCTAGCTTGGCCCTGGGAAAGTGTACAGATTACCAAACACCAAGAGGACTACAGTGCTATCATTTAAATTTCCCAATTACCTTAGAAAGAGACTCCTATGCCTGGAAACAGTGAAAGACAACACATCTTTACAGGTCAATCAGACACTGACAGGCTGGGCGTGGAGACACGTTAGTTAATCCCAGTACTCTAGAGGCAAGCAGATCTCTGTGAGCTCCAGGCCAGCCAGAGTGAAACCATCTCAAAGCAGAACAAACAAACAATTAGGGACTGTAAAGAAATTCCACGGGCTGGAGAGATGTCTGAGAGGGTAAGAGCACGGGTTGCTCTCCCAGAGGTCCTAAGTTCAATTCCCAGCACCCACATGGTGGCTCACAACCATCTGTAATGAAATCCAATGCCCTCTTCTGCTGTGTTAGAAGACAGCTACAGTGTACTCATAAATAAAATAAAATAAATCTTTAAAAAAAGAAAAAGAAAGAAATTCCATTTGTATCTGACAAGGTCCCAGCCTTTAAGATATCATAACCCTGACTATTTGTTTACTGCTTCTTTGTATGTCTGTTGGTTTGGAGGTATGGTCTTCCACAGCTCAAAGCTGGCCTTGAACTTGTTATGTAGCTCAAGAGTAGCTGGAATTTCTGATCCTTCTGCTTTAGCCTCCCACTTTCTAGGATCACAGGCATCCTGAATCTTTTTTTTTTCTTTTAAGATTTCTTTATTTTATGTATGTGAGTACACTGTAGCTGTCTTCAGACACACCAGAAGAGGGCATCAGATCCCATTACAGATGGTTGTGAGCCACTATGTGGGTGCTGGGAATAGAACTCAGTGCTGAGCCATCTCTCCAGCCCCACCCGGGATTCTTAATGATATTACATGGTAGAAGATGGGTGTGCAGCTGTGTTCCTGTATTTCATTACCAGCTTATTGTCCTCGGGCTCCTCCTCCTGGCCCTCCTCCTATAGGACTCTGTCTTCCTCTCTCTCTTCCCTTCCCACCACCCAAAGCAAACAGGTTCAATCCACACCTCTCCTGGGGAATCCGGTCTGACTCCTTTCTCTGTTTGTATTTACACTACTTTCCATGTTTCAATCACAAGAGCTCCATCTACATACCCAGTCAGTGAGGGTTTAACTGAGCAGTTACTACAGACCTCATCCTAGGCCTGTTCACAGCCACATCTGTGTCAGATTCCATCACTTCCTTTACTTCTCAGAGGACACTCTGAAGTCAGCAGAGGTTGGCAGTAAGCTCAGGGAGCAGCCATTCAGACTGAGCCCTCCAGTCTGAATGACTGGAGCCTGCACACTTCAAGTCAAAATCTAGTTTTCACCTTTAAGTGTGTCTCCACCGACTTCCTCCAGCTTCTCTTACCTATGTGGACATGTAAGTCATCTTTGACCATCCTCTCACCAACTTCTGTCCACATCCAGCCTCTCTTCCATCCCCAGTGCCTCCTCACTACAGCAGAATGTCTGAGATCAGAACCCTAGGCTGTGCTCCAAGCCGCTCAACAACAAACCACTCACGTCTTCGGTCAACAGCAAAAGGGGTCCTTACGTTACACAGCAGTTCACACATTGACTTAAGCACACTTGTTTCACTCTGAGGATAAAATCCACAAAACCAGGGGCTGGAGTGATAACGCAGCAGTTAAAGGCGCTGGCCGCTCTACCAAACGTCCTGGGTTCAATTCCCAGGATGACAAGGCAGCTCATTACCAACTGTGAGTCTAGTTCCAGGGGGTCTGATATCTTCTTCCTCTGGCCTCCATGTACTCATGGTACAGATATATGTGCAAGCAAAGCCGTACACAGTAAAAAAGCAACAAACAACAACAACAAAAGCCACAGCACTCACTACTCTTTCAACTCCTTATAATTTCTCAAAAACGAATCTCTGCAGCTTGAGGCAAGCTTCCATCTGCCTCCAGCCACACTTTTTTTTTTTTTTTTAATGTGAGTACACTGTCACTGTCTTCAGACACACCAGAAGAGGGCATCAGATCCCATTACAGATGGTTGTGAGCCACCATGTGGTTGCTGGGAACTGAACGCAGGACCTCTGGGGAGAGCAGTCAGTGCTCTTAACCACTGAGCCATCTCTCCAGCCCTGAGCCATACTTTCTTAAACTCATATAAAGTTCTACAATGCTGATCATCAGTTTGCCTAACCTGCCCTTTGTGGTCATGATTAGCTCTGCCTCTCAATTAGCCAAGAAGTAAACAAGGCCTGCACTACAGGTATCGCTAGGCTGGCCATCCGTTGTCATTCAGCCTCTCCCCGATTCCATTGCTGGGAAAGGCTCCATCATAGCTAACCAGCAACAACCACTTCCTGGAAGGAAGGCAACTCCTGGAGCTATCAGAATACCCAGAGAGAGAGGTATAACCCTTTTCATCTTCTTTCCTGATATTTCTTCATTCTCTGTTGCAAAAAGCCAAAGTGTATGGCAAAGCTGGGTGTGGGAGTGTATGTATAAAATCCCAACATCAGGAGCCAGAGACAGAAGGATCAGGAGTTCTAGGTTAGTTTTTGCTACATATAAAGTTCCAGGTCAGCCTTAACCACATGAAAGCCTGCCTCAAAAAGTCTGTTAGAAAGTAATAGTTTTTAAATGTATAAATTCCAAACTGGCAGAGTAGCCCATCCATCAACTGAGCACTTGGGAAGAAAAAGCAGGAGGGTTGAGAGGCTCAAGGTCATCCTTGGGTACACAGTGAATACTGAGACAAACCTCAACTAAATATAATACATGACTCTGCCTCTTAAGAATGGGAAAAGGATACTCACATAAGATATGGAAAATTTACTATCTGATACTCATTAAGAACACAGGGCATAGGCAGCACGTAAGTATTTGCTGATTTAATTTGTAATGATGGAAAGAAAGAAAATAAAGTTAAAATAGCAGCTCAAACAGGCCCTTGAATCAATATTTGTAATTTAACAGAAAAGACAGACAGCCAGACTCCTTGTCCCGAGGAATCCCAAAATATCACCAGCTGTTATCTGACGTACTTACTGGCATCATCCATGAACTCAAATTCACCTCCTAGTTCAGAGCCTGAAAAGTGATACTGATCGGGATCTGCCAGGGCACTCAGCAGCATCAGCAGGACCACAGCGTTGATGATCTGCAGAAGAGAAAAGGGACATAAGACATCCAGGCCAGAGTCTCAGATCACCCATGGTGCTTCATGTCTGGCAGCTGAGGAAGCGTGCAAAGGCTCCCAGGCTGATTCTGGCCAACTCTGCACAGCTAAACTGGGGAGATGGCTCGGCAGGACAAGCACGAAGACCTGAGGTCCGATCTCCCGAGTCTGCTTAAAAAGTGCAACGGTGGATCAGTGACATGGATAGAGGTGCTTGTCATCAAACCTGATAATATCAATATTCGGTCAATCCCCAAAATCCACACGGAAGAAGAATCAACTCTTCCAAGTCGTACTCTGACCCTCATATGTGCACAGACACAGACACATAACACACACATAATTTTTTTAGTGCAGTGTTGTGTACTGGGGAGCAGAAATGAAGCACAGGGGACAGGCAGGTTCCTGAAATGTAGTAGCCAGCCAATCTAACACCCACGTGCATGCACCATGCACACGCACGATGCCAGAGGCTGTGAGAAGCACTATCACCACACACACACACACACACACACACACACACACACACCGGCTGCCCCCAGTCTCTGACTTCTGCGGAGGACGGTGTCCTTCACACTCAGCACACCCACGTGGAGATGATCACAGCCCACGTCTCCCACCTGTACTCATTCCTTCCTGTGTGTTTCTTATTGAGTGTACCACACATTGTGATTAAACAGGACAGCGCTCAGACGTGACAGTAAGGACTAATATGTCAAGTCCCGAGCCCTGCAAGCCCTCTGGTTAGTTAGAGCAATGCAAGATAATCCCCACTGTGAGAAAACTGAGACTCAAAAGTTAAAAACACTGCTCAAGGGCTAAAGAGATGGCTCAGAGGTTAAGAACACCAACTGCTCTTCCAGAGGTCCTGAGTTCAAATCCCAGCAACCACACGGTGGCTCACAACCATCTGTAATGGGGTCTGATTCCCTCTTCTGGTGTGTCTGAAGAGAACAATGGTGGTATACTCATATGCATAAAATAAATAAATAAATCTTTAAAAAAAAATGCTCAAAATCAGACTAGAGAGAGGAGATTTGACGCGGGAACTTAAATCGCAAGCCTTCGTGTCTTCTGCTCAGGTGTGTAACTGCATCATCTGGGCTCACCCCCTCACCCCCCTCACCCCCCTCACCCCCCTCACCCTCCTCACCCTCCTCATCTCTCTACACCCCACCCAAGTTCAGAAACACGAGTGTGCTGTTTTACTCTTCTCAGAATGGTGAGAAAAGGCCTTTTACTAACATTAACTAAAGACACATCTTACTATTTGGAAGCACTTACTACAGAAGAGATTCAGACAGACCATTTGGTAAACACCCACTGCAGAAGTTTTTAATGTGACCACTGACAGATCATTTTAGAATTGTTGTATGACTTGGATTTTGTTTTCCTTCCTCGAGTTTCCACATGCAGCCTGATGAGAACAATCAATTCACAGAATACATACACATTCATGACTGATTACTTTATTACCTCATACTTTAAGTATGAGGTCAAGGGGGGGAGGGTTGAGAAAGGGTCTCACATAGCCCAGGTTGGCCTTGAATTTACTATCCCCGCCTTCAGAGTGCTAGAAGCTCTTAAATTACTGGAACACAAACCACCATGTCTGGTGTATGGTGCTGGGGACCATACCTGCCCTGTTTCTGACAGCGTGATGCATTCCTGCTCTCCCCACTTGGTCTCCTCTTGTGGGTTCCCAATAGTGCTGTTGGTTCGATTTATCCTCTCTCCCCAGTATTCCCTACTGCTTTACAATTGCACTTGCCCAACCTTGAACCCTGAGGCCTCTGTATCTCAGGGTTAGTCCAGGAACTGTAGCCTCCAAGTTCCCCTGAACTTTGTGCAGTAATTCAGATAACGATCAATGGTTGGGCTTGGTGAGTGGCTAAGCAGGTAGAGGGATACTTGATCAGGATTTGATGAAATGATTTGATCCCTGGCCGGAAAGAACTGACTCCTGATTTTGCTCTCTGACCCGTATACATACAATACATACACACATACACACATAGTGTGTATGCATGCATATATACGTACATGACACACACACACCACAAATACACAGAATTTTTTTTAATTTAATTTTTTTTCTTTGGAGGTCTTATTATGCAGCTCTGGCTGGCCTAAAACTCACAAAGATCCACCTGCCTCCTGAGTGTTATTCTTTAAAAAAAAAAAAAAAGTGGTAAGTTCTTGTCTTCCAAATGACTACCAACAACAATAAAATGAAAAATAACAAAACAAAAACCACTACTCTTACCTCAAAGGGCTAAAATAGTTAATCCTGGAGTTACCCCAAATTCCATGTTCCTCTTCCACATATGCTGGTGGAATATCAGGTAGACGGACATAGAAAGCGGGAATTTCAGCTCCAAGCCTCAGATGCTGACAACATCCTTAGCTTCTGGTTGATGGAGTCTGGGGTTTGTACATTCCAAGTAACTACCTAATAGTCCCAGAGATGCACGGGTTCATGCAGAGGCGGGTAATAAGCAGCTATCATGGGGCTAGAGATGGCCCTCGACTTACAACATTCCAGGCGGCCCACATCCCTGAGGTATAAGCCGTGAACCTCTCAGGAGGTTTGTGGAAAGCATGGTTCTTTCCAGCTCTCCCTCACATGATTCATCCTGTGCTGCTTCTTTTCTGAGAGCTGAGACCTTTCTGAACAATCAGTCTGGCCTGTCTTTTCTGTATTACTACTCAACAGCTGGACAGGACTTTAGCACAAATGGAATGAATACAGAAGTGTCCATGAGGACTTGGGTCAACACAAAGAGGTGGAGCAATAGTCGTCATGGTAACTAACAAACATGGTCAGATGGAAGAAGCCAAATACAAGCTAAAGCCCCAAGAGACTACTGAGTTTGAACTTCCTGAAAGAGAAGACAGAAATCATTAGATCATCAAACCATGACAGTGCTAAGACCTGCCAGGAGTATAATGGCCACAGCTAGTCTCTCTGCAAAAGACCCAGCAGACACACCCTGCTTTCCGTTTTCTTGCTTGTGTTTGGGCTGTGTCTTTCAGTGAGGTGGGTACCAATAGCTCCTGTGATGTCAGCACGTTTTTCCTTGTTCTTAATTACTTAGGTAGTATGATATGAGGCCCCTGTGCATTCTCCAGAGACCCAAAATGCTTCCAGCCTTAAATCATGTATCAGATCTCAAACAAACATGCAGCTTACACCTAAAGCACCACCGAGGACTGTCACCAGCTTATCTATCTTTGGGCCTCCTGGCTCCTGCACCTGGTTCCCCTCTCTCATCTCCCAGATGCCCCTGCCTCTGACTATGCCTGTCTTTTACCCACAATAAACTTCCTCCTCTGCCACTAAAAAAAAAATCAACATAACCGGTGAGCTGGCAGCTCAAGACTCTCAGTGAAGCAGGGCACGGTGCCACCGGTGCCGCCGGCCTTTGATCCCAGCACTCCAGAAGCAAAAGCATTGACTGTCAAGACTAATAAAGCCAATATGCAAGGGCAGGAGAAACAATCCCAACCAACTTCTCTGAATGGACTTGGTTGAGCTCTGGTCGTCACTCTTACATTGACTATATATACACTCAAACTGCAGGACTCAAAATGGATGAAGTCGTACATATCTTTAAAAAAGGAGGGGGGAGGGCAAGACCATGTAATTAACAAGAAATATAATGGACAGTTTCCCCAGAATCCTGCACCCTCTGCAGGCACTGGGCACACAAGTGGTATGCTGACAAATATGCAGGCAAAATACCCATGCACGTATAAAAAATAAGTATTTGCAAATAAGAAACGTGTTTTGAAAAATACACTAGACAGTGGGAAGAGGCAAAGGATGCCCTCCACCCCCACCCCCAGGAAAGGCAAAAACACCTGATGCAGTCTTCTTATGAGATCTGTGCTTTGGAAGGAAGAAAGCAGTCATGTGACTTTGATTCTACGTGTGTGATGAGGCAGGCCTGGCCCAAAACCTAGTCAAGGCTGAGCAATGGGGACCTTAGAGCTGCATTTTAAAACACCTAGTGTTGAGAGGCTGGGGTTGGCACAGGTAGCAGGGAGAACAAAGCCCAGAATGAGAGGGCTTCAGTGGCTCACTCCGGGGAGGCTAAGGCAGGAGCAGCACTATAAATAAGGACAAGGTTCAGCTCCACAGCGGATCCAAGGCTGAGAATCAGGCCCCTGTGACACACACCGTCACTCATTCTCAAGAGTGGTGATCTGAGACTGCCAACAGGGATCCATGCATGCAGACAAACGTGTAGAAGGCAGTTCCACAGGTACACCCTAAAACCATAAAAGCTGCTTCCCCATCGAGACCTGTGACCTCCCCAGGCACAGGATTTTGTTCTGGCTTACAATACCAGATGTGAACCCCCTCTTGTAGATCAAATGGAAAGGTTGTTGGTCCTACCCATGACAGCAGAGGCCGCTCGGGCAGGAACATCCTGTCTGCAGTGTTGGTATTCTGCATGCAGGGTCCACAGCCAAGCAGGAATGTGGCAAACGGTTCTCCACTGGCACCTACATAGCTCCCTCTGGCACTATGAAAGCCAACCAGCAGGACGGTAGTTCAGTCCCAGCTTAAGTCCTTTATGTCCTGTAGTCTCATCCTGCAGACAGCCTCCTCAACAATAGGATCTTACTACCTAGTTCTGGCATACAAGCAACAGCAGTAGCAACAGCCTTCAAGGGCTTCCCTGGCTAACAACTCACAGGAGGCAGAACTCCTAGCACTGGGTTTTCGTTAAATGACGTTAAGTCCTCTGGGAGTATCCTTTTCCACCCATATAGGGAAACTTTCAGATTTTTTTTCCTTTCAATTTACCCATCCACACTTGGGTTGTAGATACAAGGAAGTACTACTGTACCTAGTTGTCTTTCCAAATCTGCAACACTCAAGGGTTATATGTCACTATTGATAAAACCTTTTCCAAGGATGGGCAGGACAAGGCAACATCCCAAACCACCATCCCAAAACAAATGGTGGCATT